AGGCGCCACGATTGACACGTCGATACGTGGGAATTGGGCTGGGCTTCAGTAACGTGGACCAATCATAGCTGCGTTACCGTAGTATTAGCCTTTTCTTTTTGGGTGTATCCGTATGATGGGATCGAGTGAGGTTGGGCTCATGGTTTGTCTTAATCGGGCCACTTGTGGATTGTGTTGAAAGGCTTTCTACATGCAACAAACGAACCTCTTAAGTCTTATCAGCTAAGCAATAGTCATGATGGCTACAAAGTACAAACTATGAGTGACATCTTGGGACAAAATCACTTACACAATTCTTAGTGCCAAATGAATTGATAATTAATTTCATTATAAAATGAAGGCAAAATACACTTTCATAGCCATAACTTATTCGCGTTCTGACAATAATAGCCACTTTTCGACAAAAAAACTGATATAGTCATTCCGTCCATAACTTTAATGGTTTCCTCACGACTGCTGACAATACAAATGGTTGTTTATGACGTGGCCAAATTTCATCTACGTGGCAAAGGTGCAATATGTTTTTTAATTTATTAATTAAAAAATGGTCAAATGTAACTTTATCAATTAATCAACAATTTTGATTTACTTTTACCCTTTCGTTTCTCTCCTTCTTCTCGGTGAAACCCCTCCACCTTCACTCTAGATCGATGATGAGTTTCCATGGCTCCGCCAATTCCCCTGCCGTACCCACCAACTCCGTCACTGACCAGGTCAACCCACCATCCACAGCGACAAACGCCGCCGCCAATGCTCCCGCCGTGCTTAGCCACTCCCTCGCTGCCCAGAAGCATGGCTAACCCACACACATGACTATCCAACTTCCCCTCCTCCACAATCCTTGCAGCGTCCTTCACCAGATCCGATCTGGCGACAACCTCCCTCCATAGACTCGTCAACACAGGCTCTTGCTCTGCTACCGGCGTCACCACTGTGGTCGGCGGCTATAGTTCACCTCCATCGTCGGGAGGTTCGCAACCACCTCCGTTGATGGCGTAGATGGAGCTCGACGCTGCCTAAAACCTCCCTTGCCACCTCCGTCATTCCCTCGCCACTCATCGTCATCATCCATCGTCGAATCTATCACTACCCAAATTTTCCTTGGATCGTCTAATTAATCATCGTCCGTATCCAGATGGCCAAATTTCTCCATCGTGACGGAGATGTCGTCGTTGATTTTGGATCTGCTGATTCTCTCTTCCTTGCCTCTCTCACAGCAGACGGAGCTCTAAATCGATTCGTCGGTGCCTTCCAGCTTTGTCTCCGCCACCCACTCATCTGTATTAGGTTTATGATGCAGTGGAGATGCATCGCCCTCATCATGGCGGAATCGAGTAATTGATGGGGAAAGAGAGGGATTTGAAGAGAGGAGTTATGATTTTGGATCTGCTGAAGAATGTTGAAGGAGGAAGACAAGCAGTGCCGGTGGGAAAGGGATTTGGGGAAGGAACGAAAGAGTACAGATTGCATATAGTGAATAAATTATTGAAATAAGTGATCTACAGTCGTGCCTTCTTTGACCTCCCAGGTCCATATCAAGAGAGAAAGAGGAAATAAAATAAACAATTTCTTTCTTTCAAATTTTTTTTATTTGATTTATGGGTTAATTGCACGGTTGGTCACTAACATTACAAAAAGCGTTCATGTTTGGTCACTGGAAAAATTTAAATCCATTTTTGGTCACTAACTTTACAAAAACCGTTCATTTATGGTCACTCTCCGTTAGCTGCCGTCCAACGCCGTTAACGGCGTCCGTTAAGTGATGACGTGGCTGACGGATTCGCCTAATCAACACCTTTTTACCCGAAAATTGACTGACCTGACCCGCCACGTCATTTAAACCCTCCATGTCAGCCAAACCTAACCAAACCTCTACCCAAACCCGACCCGACCCGCTAACTAAAGCCAAACCAGACCAGACCCCCAAAATTGTTTGACTAAAACCCTAATCAAAGATTGCCGCCATCTCGCGCAGCCTCCATCTCGTCGACAACGCCACCACCGCCGCCGCGATCTTCCTCCAGCACTGCGCCTGGTCCTTCGCCGAGGGCCGATTCAACCCCGGGGACGCCGCCGTCATGCTCCACTACGCCTACGACGCCGTCATGCTCCACTACGCAACCACTTCACCGCCCCCATTAAAAATGCAGGAGATGACTGTAATGAAGAAAAGCATTCAGACTCACCAGGTGATTGACAATATGAGAACCCAACGTATTCCCTCTCGAATTACAAAACCACTTCCTACAGGACGGTACATTACACCTCACCACACACGCAGGGTTGGAAACGCCGCAGTATCGGCAGGCGTGCTCTGTGAAATCCCCTTTCCCGAACTCGTACCTGTCTTCGTCACCAGTCTCCTCGAAATTCAGCCCTCCAATTCCAGCCACCACGCCGTCCACTCCGTGGCCGTCGCGCGCAGCTGCCTTCGCAACCGACGACGACACCACGGGGGATGCAGCTTGGGAATCGGAATGGTGGTGATCAGACGACGACGATGCTGCCGCCGGTGCACCGCGGTGGTCGACTACGACGGGGTCGGGCACCACGGATGAGGAGGAAGCCGCGGCGGCGAGGGAGTCGGAAGGAGTGGGCCAGGTGACCGGGGAGCGGAATTCCGGGTAGTCGAACTCGGATTCGCCCTGGGTGTTGAATTCCAAGAACATGTAGGCATCGGTGCCGGTGTCCGGCTGCGAAGCCGTCTCGTAGAGGTTGCTCTGCTGGGAATCCATGGAAGCCAATTTGTTAGGGTTTTGCGGGAGATTGGAGAAGGAAAAATGGCAGGGCCGGGTGGGAATGTGAGCGGGTTAGGGTTAGGGTTTGGGCGAGCGAGACTGATGCAATTCCGTCTCCGCGGTGGTAAGGGAAGGGTTAACGGGGAAAGGGAGATCGACCTCGATGATGTGGCCTCCGACTCTGGTGATGTACGCCTCCACCGATTTCTTCACGGCGCCGTAGGCGTAGTGGAGCATGACGGCGGCGTCCCCGGGGTTGAATCGCCCCTCGGCGAAGGACCAGACGCAGTGCTGGAGGAAGATCGCGGCGGCGGTGGTGGCGTTGTCGACGAGATGGAGGCTGCGCGGGATGGAGGCAGTCTTTAATTAGGGTTTTAGTCAAACAATTTTGGGGGGCTGGTCTGGTTTGGTTTTAGTTAGCGGGTCGGGTCGGGTTTGGGTAGAGGTTTGGTTAGGTTTGGCTGACATGGAGCGTTTAAATGACGTGGCGGGTCGGGTCAGTCAATTTTCGGGTTAAAAGGTGCTGATTAGGCGAATCCGTCAGCCATGTCATCACTTAACGGACGCCGTTAACGGCGTTGGACGGCAGCTAACGGAGAGTGACCATAAATGAACGGTTTTTGTAAAGTTAGTGACCAAAAATGGATTTAAATTTTTCCAGTGACCAAACATGAACGCTTTTTGTAATGTTAGTGACCAACCATGCAATTAACCCTTTGATTTATTTTGTAAAACTAATGATTTTTTTTTGTTAAAATTACTTTTTATATGATGTGGCATCTAGGTGGCACAAAGACGTCCAGTTGGCGATGATGTGTCGTCCAGATGGCATCCACCTCAGCGACACGTGGAGGTTACTAACGGCGTTCGTAACGACGTTAAAGTTTGTAACAAAAATGGCTAAAGTTGTCAAGCAAGTTTGAAAAAGTGGCTACATCTGTGCATTTTTCAAAAAGTGGCTATTATTGTCACAACGCGAATAATTATGGCTATGAAAGTGTATTTTGCCTAAAATGAATTACTGTGTAGAATTCATTGTCAAATGAAATCTTGTGTTTGTTATGCCATATTCAAATCTTTAGAAATAGAATGAATTGTCGTGTAAAATTCATTGTCAAATGAATTCCTCTGTTTGGTATGTCATATTTATAAGTAATTTAGTTATAAAAGAGCACTCTATTATAATTAGTAAATAGTTGTGAAATTCATTTGAAAATTCCATCTCAATTTCTCGGAATTGCTATAACTAGTTTCAATTCCATGGAATTCAAAATTTAGAATTGAAAATGAATTCTTTTAAAAATACCAAACACGAAAATGCTTCATTCCAAAATGAATTTCTTAAAATTTATGAAATTCTTTATACAAAACGGTATGTTAAAGTAGAGAATTAACTCTAGAATTGGTGGCTAAGAATAAACCAAATGATGGCTGGTTATAATAGCATCACTACATTAAGAAATCCTACTAAGACATAGACTCCTAGTCCAGTTAAGATAAGGATCAAGGACTCCTAATTTAAGAAGTACGAGCAATATTGGCTAAACTTGTATATCTTTTCCATTAACGACTTGGAATCCGGGTTGCATTAGGATTTCATGTTCAATGTCCGAAAGTAGGTTACCTTCAAAATTTTACTCCGAGTAATACCTAAATCTACGAATCAACTTAGTAATCCTAGTCCAACAAGGAATATCAATCCATAAAGAATTTCTAGTTATATTAGGGAATTTATTTTTAGGTGCTTCTTCAAAGAGTATTCTAAGTTCGATCCATAAGGTTTCGAAAAACAACAAATGAACTACAAGGTTGTACAATATTAGTGACATCTAACATCACATTGTTACCATCAAAGTGATGAGAGTTTAAGGATTGAACAATTTGAAGTTCTATATACAAGTTTCTCAGTCACATGTCGCTTTGTACTTGTTGCAACTGAAATGATTCCGTGGCATTACAATGTCTATCACAATAAAGATGAAATTAGTATAAAATATATCAAGTTATTTGCGTGTGAATGCATATATTTAGAGGCGAAAATCATAAATAAATGAACAAACTCGAAAATATCTTTCATCTACCGAAGAAGGTCGAATCTTCATAGTATACCCAACAAATAATCACGTACCATACTATAAGAAAATATCATTGGCATGTCTACCAATCTAATAAATGTGTCACATAAGTTATCTCACCCTCTTTTTCCCTCTTCGTGGGGTTCACATCTCCATGTATCAAAATCTCAATTTACTAGAAAATAGTCCGATTGTGCTAATAAGTCAACCAAGAACTTGCTTTAATGAAAAGAATTAGACATAATGCATGCCAGCCATTCTCCCCTTTTGACCTCATCACTTCACCATTAATCTTCAATCCAATCCCTAATCCCCATTCCCCACCTTTCCCGCTCTGTAAAACAGAATTCCCTAACTACCAAAAAACCATTTCTGTTCCTTCTTCTTAGATTCCACCATCGCCATTTTTAGCAATCGAGTTGCAGACCTCCGCTTCCAAAATCCATTACCGTAGTTGTAGTCAGTGTGGATATAGTCCACCCCCAACTTTCCTGCATCAAATTCCGGTCACCATCACCTACCCTCTTGTCTCTCTAATCCCCACCGCTAATCTCGCCTCTCATCAATCCTCACTTTCCCTTTCTTCAATTCCTGCTCTCTCTCTCTCTCTCTCTCTCTCTCTCTCTATTTACTCCACTTTCCAGACTACACTTCCCCATTCCTTCTTCTTCTTGAATTCCCATCCCACCACCACCGCCATGCCTCTCCTTCTACTGCTCTTCTTCCTCCTGCGCTTCTTCACTTCTTTCCAATCAGCTCTCTCCGCTGCTCCATTTGGTAATTGCAATGCTTGCTTGCTGTTAATGTCTTTCTTTTTGTTTGTTTCTTGTTTGTTTGATGCCTTTCTTTCTTGTGTGTGGTGGTGGAACAGATATTGCCTACCACATTGATTGCGGCGGCCCCACCAACGTCACCGACCCGTTCAACACCACCTGGCTCGCCGACAGATACTACACCGGCGGATCCACCTCCGTCGTCTCCGAGCCGCTCCACTTCCGGCACCCGCAGGAGAAGACGCTCCGCTACTTCCCGCTCTCATCGGGGAAGAAGAACTGCTACATTCTCCCTCTCCCTTCCGGCCGCTACTACTTCCGCACCTTCACCGTCTACGACAACTACGACGGCAAGTCCCACTCCCCTAGCTTCGACGCCTCACTGGAAGGCACTCTGGTCTTCTCCTGGCGCTCCCCCTGGCCAGAATCCCTAGCTCGCGACGGCGCCTATTCCGATCTCTTCGCCTTCGTCAAGGACGGGGAGGCGGATGTCTGCTTCTACAGTATCGCCACTGACCCGCCCGTAATTGGCTCACTCGAAATCCGCCAGGTCGATCCGTTGTCCTACTCCGCCGCCGATCTTGGTGACCGGTTTATTTTGGTCAACTACGGCCGATTGTCCTGTGGTAGCGACCAATGGGGGCCGGGTTTCACCAACGACGTCGATTACTTCGGCCGATCGTGGCAATCCGACGAAGAGCTCCGCACTCCCAACACGTCCAAAATTGTCCGCGTCGTCTCCACCAGGGAGTCGATTTCGGGAGTCAATCAGGCACCGAATTACTTCCCGATGAAGCTGTATCAGATGGCGGTTACCGGGAATGGAGTGCTGGAGTATGAAATTCAGGTGGACGCGAAGATGGATTACTTGCTGTGGTTCCATTTCGCTGAGATTGACTCCACTGTCAACAAGAAGGGGCAGAGAGTCTTCGATGTGTTGGTGAATGAGAAGAACGCCAGCAGAGTCGACATATTTGCGCAGGTGGGGAGCTTCGCAGCTTACAGTTTTAGCTACACTGTGCATAACTTGAGCAGCACTACTCTGAGCGTGAAGCTGGTGCCGGTAGCTGGTGGAGCGCCTATTATATGCGGGATTGAGAATTACGCTCTTGTTCCCAATGATATCGCCACTATGCCCGAGCAAGGTATGTTTGAACTGCCATTTCTACTTGGTTCTGCTGCACTCAGTCGGTTCAAATTGGGTTTTCTTCTTTCTTTGGAATCATCGAATTGCATGTTACTTAGTTGCTTGAGGGACGGTCATGCATGGATAACGGTGGAGAGAGGTTGGCAATGAAGGCTGTTCTTGTTCTCAGAATTGTAGTTCACTGATCAGGTGTTTCTGTTTGTTTGTAGTGACTGCCATGAAAGCATTGAAAGACTCTCTCCGAGTTCCTGATAGGATGGGTTGGAATGGTGATCCTTGTGCTCCCACGAACTGGGATGCTTGGGAAGGGGTTACATGCCGTCCAGACATTAATGATACCGGCCTTGTCATATCCCAAATGTGAGCATTCTCCTACTTCCTGGATCTAGTGCATGTGGTCATGGTTTTCGTCCTCTCTCATTTTACTTCTGTTCTCCTACATTATTTCAGAGATCTTGGGAGTCAAGGCCTTAAAGGGTTCATAAGTGATCAAATCAGTCTCCTTACGAATTTGGTAAGCTTGTAAGTATCTGCTACCAACATTCTAATGAACTTTTGACTTTGTGACGGTATAGCTTAAAATGGAAACATACTTATAGGAATCCTATTTCTACAATTACTGTTAGAGGCAGTTGTCTGTTATTACTAGACTTTTCCTTTGGGAATTCCAACAAATAAACTTCGCATGCTAGTCACTATCCTTCATTATCTGCTTTCTACTGCTAGCTTTCTTAGTACAGAAAGGAAGCATAAGAAGTGATCAGGTTTCCTCCAAAGGGAACTTACCACCCCTCAGCTTTCTCTGTAGAAGCCGATGTTAGATTCTGACACAGTTTTGAGAACTTCACTTTTCTATTTGAATCGAAAATTTATATGCATCCAGTGTAGCTAAATAATTATAATTACATAATGTTCTTCAAATATACAGGAATATGAGTGGCAATTCATTGGGAGGAAACTTACCTGATGGGCTCGGTCATAAATCTCTCGTACGGCTGTAAGTAGCATGCAGTTAATGCTCAGTTTGATGTTATTTGCTTGAGTTTCTTCAAAGTTATTATGTCATAGGAATAAGTTTTTTGTCCTCTGGCAACACATTTTAAGATGAAGTTTCTGATTTTGTATTCTGGATCTGTTAACAGTAAGCAAACATGGCAGGCATTTTATTATGCTTATCTGCTTTTGGATTCATGTTAAACAGAAAGAAGGTTACCTTAACATTGAAGGATATGTAGCTTAGCAGCTCATCCTTCTCTCGTGCAGCCCATGTAATGATACCAGTCGTACTTTGCTTGCTGGAAACTGAAGTCAGGCCAGGAAATATCACATTAGTTCTTTTGCTTTTTCACAAACTACCATCTAGGCCCTAGCTTCTCTGATGTTCTAGTATTTCTACACTTCAATATTAGTAAACTTGATTTGTTTGTCAAATTTTTCTTACCGCTTTGGTTGATAATCGATATCTGAGGCTCCCGTGTCGGGACTTGGGGGTTAATAGATGACATAACTCTTTTGTATCTAGTCATACATACTTTAGCTATCATTTGATGTAGTCACAATTCTGAAGCCATACTTACTATGAAGAGCATTTGCTTAATTATGTGACTTTTTCCTATGATTGCTTATGATTTGGGTTTATACTGTGTAGGGATTTATCAGACAATCAGTTCTCAGGTCCCATACCAGAAAGTTTAACTTCTTCGAGTCTGAAATTAATGTAAGTTTGTCTTCTTGTATTGGTTACTCTGTATTACACTTCTATATCTCCAATGCATGTTTGCAAAATCTTACATAACTTAAATTTAAATGAAATTCAAATTTTATGGTGTCCATTTGATTCATTCTGTTGAACCCTTCCTTTGCCGTAAAGTGTGGTGATTGGATGGTGACTTGTTATAGTGGCTTGGCAACATTGTATTATCTTTTTGAGATAGAATGGCATAATCTGCTGTTACATTTCTACCACATTCATTCGTAGCACTGAATTGAAACTCAAGTAGAAAGTGTATGAAAGAATATATTGCTCAATGAATTCAGTGTTGTTATACCTATCCCATAAGAGGACATACTGTTGAACCCTTCCTGCGTTTGAAAACCTGCTTAGCACATTTGCAATAAGATGAAGCATAGAGCTGCTTTACTGGTCCTTGGACAATTTGAATGTATTGTAATTCATGGGTGAATGAATTACCTCATTCAGTGGGAGAATGGAAATGGATGGGCTCAGCCAGATTTTTACTGTTTCTGTTACCCTTTGTTGCTTAATTCATCAGTAGATTACCCTTAATTGCTGGAACTTTGTCATACTCCTTTGGCTATTGGATTGACCTCGTAACTCTTTTTCCAGGTTATTGAATGATAACCTATTAGAAGGGCGAGTCCCAGAAGAACTTTATTCTATTGGTATGCATGGTGGATCCATCAAGTAAGTTCTTTCTGCAATGTTTCACAATATGTAATATTCTGAAATATTTTCTGAAACTATCAAATCATAAGCGTCACGTAATATTATGTGATGTATTGAAGTTAGTTCTTTTTCTCAACTGTCTTTGACATTATGGCACCATCCTGCAAAGTTTATTGTAAAAGAGAAAGATCACAAGGTCACCATGCAATATTTTCCTGTCAGCCTTAGTGTCCCTTTAAATTCTAGCCATGTAGTTTATCTCAGGAGGCTAGCCAACTATAAAATTTGAGTCCATTGCTGACTAGCCTCTGTTGATACAAAAGTCCGTTGTATATACATCTACCATATTCTTCATACGGGTTTGTCAGAAACATTCACTTTCATTTTGCAAAGGAAAGCTCTAAATCAGACCCAGTTAGACAAGGAAGTGCCATTTGTAGCATTTTCGTGTTCATTAACTGAGACCATAATTCTATTGTAGTATATTGACCCGGTGTGTTTCTGTCCAAACTATGGACTTTCGAGTCCTTTTTTCTCATCTATTGTCTAAGAGGTGAGGTGACTTCATATGGAGCAAGGCAGGGTCTAGGGTGATGGTAAAATCACTGCCATGATTACCATTAAAGCTACTTGGCTATGGTGCTCCCAGCCCATAATTGCTCATAATCTTTTACAAGTTGGGACTTGGGTCATCAGTAATACAGCTGGGCCATTGGATAGTGTAGCTTATTCCTTATACATATATTACGTGGTTCCATTTTAAGGTTATCTTTTCTGTTGGTATCACCCTCGTTACCTTTAAGATACTTAAAAGGTTCCATTTAAAACTGATGTTTCATTTCATTACTGAATGAAAGAGAACCTTGGTTTTGCAGCCTTTCAGGTAACAAAGCCTTGTGTGGTGTACCCTCATTACCAGACTGCTCCTTAGTGTGGGAAAATGGTCATTTATCCAAGGGTGGCAAAATCGGTATCGCTATAGCTTGTGTTGTGGTATTCCTTGGGATTCTTTTCGTGATCTACATTTGCTGGATCAGAAGGACTAGACATGATTATGACTTTGCTCCACCTCATGACCTAATGTGTAAGTATTTTAAAAAATTCCAAGTTTGTTTCTTTAATTTGCATATATGATATCTGGAAAATTTCAAAGCTCAAATTTCCATGTTATAGCTAGTTTAGTGACTATCATCGGGTTAAACAATAGGACCTCTTCAATTTTTTGTGTTTGTGGTGTTTTCAATTTGCTACATCTGAAGCTTCAGATATCAATAGGTAGTTATTATATTAAGAAGATACCAAGATCTGTTATTGACTACCATAAGTTGACAGTGAGAGATAAGCTACTTGGAAGCATTGTGGAGAGTAAGTAGGTTAGTGGCCAGTCTTATGAAAACTGCAGAGTCTAAGTAGTGGGTAAATCCGGCTTGAAGATGATTGTTAAAGCGAATAAGCTTTTATAGTTTCCAAAAGGTGGCATAGATTTCTCTGTCTGTGTTAATCCAGGAACTTTATCAATGTTGGTTGCTTGCCATAGAAATCCTCTGCAGACGCTGAATAGCCGTGAATTCATTATTGCTGGTTTATTGTGGTAGAACTTTTCCTGCTGTAGTCCTTGTTGCTCTATTGGAGATATATCCTAGTATTCCCGACCAAAGCCAGCAGATAATACAAATAGTCAGAATTACGAGCCTGAATATGTACCAAATTTTTGCTTTCCCAATCATATTAAGAACTGGAATGCACCTGGAATCACAGAAAGGTCTTGCCTGTTAGGTACAGCCCTAGAGATTGAAGCAGAGTAGATACATTCAAACATGTTAAGAAAGAGGCTTCTTTGCTGAATTTTTGTTCAGGCACAGAATATGAAATACGGCAACTCACTCCCTGCTCCTGAAATTTTGTGCTATTGTTTTGCAGCAATGGCAGCAAAAAGGAACAGATACCAAAGACAGAAGTCGTTGATGCTTCTGGAAATGGAGAGTCAACATGCCAAGGCATTATCATCACCAGGTCCCAACTAACAAACCAGGTCGTATATCCGAAGTGGTAAACATATTCATCTATCTGCGCAACATGCTCTTACGACATCCCAGCACAGCTCAAATCGAACAATGGATGATGAGAAGGAACCGAGATGGCAGGGGACCCAGAATGTGACAAGTGGAAAGTTCTTGGCCAAGAAAAGCAAGGGGGCCGTTTGAGCTGTAAGATGAGATGATAATGACCTTGCTTCCTTCCCTTCCTTCCCCAGTTTTGGAATCTGTTGCATGGGATGGGGCCAGTGAAAGTCGCATGGATACAACCTTTATACAAATAACACACAGAAAACTGTTTTTTTTTTCTTCTGTTGGGTAGAACAGAAAACTGTCTATATGTTGATGATGATACAATGTATCTTGCACTGATTTTTTTTTAGTTTGCCTAGATTCCCCCACTGGCCGTGGAAAGCAAATTGGATAAGGCTTCCCATTCTTCTGTAACTCACCACCATTGTGCGCCTTTTTTGGGACTGTTGCTGTTGTGTAATGTTAACTGTCAGGTACAGGATGTCATGCTAACTTTCTATAAGGACAATTAGGGAATTTTGATTATTTAAAAACTGGATCTAAATATGAGTTAGGTTTTTTAACCCGCATCCCTTTATTCCAGCGAGTTCGGATTCTTCTGTGGCTGCCTGCCTGCCGTTTCGTTTTCCGGTCGGAGTCTTCACTTCATCGTCGACGAGGAAGCTGGTCGGCCTGCTCCCGGTGGTTGCAGTTTAGGCGGCTGGTCGATTTCGTATGGGCTCGTCGTCGGGGGACGGGTGTGCGTAGTGGTCGTCGAGTTTCCGTCGACCATGGTTTTCTTTGGTCATCACGACCAGTCTTCTGCAACGTCCACCAGCCCGCCGGATTATGTATGTTTTTTTTTGTCAAAAGATAATCGATATATTGATCAAAAACATAGGTAATTACATCCTGGCATTGAGCCATGCCAGCAAATTAAAGCAACGACTCGTAGTCGGGTACAAAGAAAGAGCCTTTCTAGCCACCAAGTGGGCTGCCCTATTGCTACGCCGACCTACAAACCGAACAGAGAAACCTCTCAACGAACCCAGCAGCCCTACAATCTCCTCAAGTAGTGCCCCAACTCTATTATCCCTAGTGTTTGACTGAGTAATCTTCTGAATAAGCACCTTGGCATCTCCCTCAAATCGCACCTCCACAAACCCCGAGTCCCGGCACCAGAGAACAGCTTCACGAAGAGCAAGGGTTTCAGCAACCAACGGGTCCTCAATGCCTGCAAACTGAAAGCCTCTGGCTATCAGAATGTCCCCCAAGTGATTCTTCACCACCATCCCTCCTGCCGAGTGCGATGCTGCCTTGGTAGCCCCATCCCACAAGCAGATCATAGGACAGTGTGGAACCTCAACCTCCGGGGTAGCACGACCACCCTGGGCTTTCTCCTTCGGTAGACTGATCCATTCCTGGTACTGCTAGTGATACTGCCTCATCAAAGCCGGAAGCCCAAACTGTTTTCCCTCAAACACTACCCAGTTCCGGGACCTCCAAATTCGCCAGAGGACAGCCGTAACCGCCATAACCAAGTGGTCTTGATGGAGGAGATTCAACAATCTCTTCAGGAACAAGGGAAAAGTGTGACGAGGCAACCCCTGCCCGAGATACTCCAATCTGGCGTAATCCCAGATGGCTTGGGCCACAGGGCCGGATTATGTATGTTCGTTGAAGTGCATCCGTGAAATTTGGGATTCTTGCTTCTGCTAGGCATCACGTACGTGACGAAGAAGCAAAGGAACGCAACAGCTATCAATTGTAGCCTTAGGGGTCATTTGGATCCAGGTTTTTAATTTGTGCGATTTTGGATCAAATCACTAGTCTAAAAACCCAGGTTTTTAATTTGTGGAATTTGTGTGGGATTTTAAAATAGCTGATCACTATCAGCTATTTCATAATCCCACAATTGTGGGTTTCTGAAATCTATAATATTTAAAATCTCTTACCATATAATTGCTTTCCAAACGAGTGATTTTAATAAAATCCCACATAATGTAGGATTGTGCCCAAATCCCACACCCAAAACCTGCATCGAAATGACCCCTTAGTTGTATTCAAGATTCGGTGATTGTTAATGAGCTTTTTTGTGGTACCCTAGGATTGAGGAACGAAGACTAAATGGTTTTTTTTTTAATTATTGGTACAAATTGATAATCTCAGTTTATTAAAAAGCTCATTATTAATTATATGTCGTCATTTTTCAATGTAAAATTTTCTCGGTTATCAATGATCGGTAAATAGACTATTCAGATTTTTTCTTACAAGTGTTAATAATTTAACGAACATTATCAACATTCATATAAAGTACCATTAACAATATACAAAAATTGTAGTTAACATTTTTTTATATCGACGAATTCATTATTAAAATTATGTTTCCTCATTATTAACGATATTGTCAACATTTTCAAGAAAAATCACAGAACATTAACAATAATGATATAAACGGCAGGGTTTGCTTGTATGCCTGCTTGTTTCTATACTTAACGTTGAATAAAAATACTATTAATGATTTTGGGTTGGTTTTTAACTAAATATAATTTCATTCTTAATGATGTTCTCAATTGTTATTAAATATTTTCAATATCATTATTAATGGTCTCATGTTGTTTTTTAAACTAATAATTTTTAACGTTTGGGTTGTTAATACAACATGTTTTTCACAATTTTTTTAGTGGCATTTGAAACTTACCATTGCATGTGAACATTATTAATGATTTTATTTTGATTTTCAAGGAAATTTTATTTCCCAATGGACATTTAGGCGAGGTATCATTAGCTATATAGAGTCATATTATCAATAGTAAAAATATAATGTTGATAATGATATACAAAAATAATATTATCAACATTCCAATAAAGTATCATTAACAATATAAAAAATAATTGTTAATTTTTTTGGTTATCGATGAAATAACTATTAACTATTTTTTGTCATTATTAACGATATGTCATATCTCCAAGAGAAATCATAGAACGTTAACGATAATGAAACATGAAATCAACAACATTTGTTGGTCCCCTCCTAAACATAAAGTGTAATGTTGTTAATATTATCAATGATATTCTAACAAGTTAATAATGGATGTTATTCATAATTCTTGGCATAAGGATGATAACGTCACATTGGATGGTTAATAATAGACGCTATTGGGAAAAATGCTCTTGAATACTCTCGTCTCATCCTTGCCGGTGAAGATTCCAGGCTTGTCTGGACGGCCGCCTGATGGTCCTGTTCCCATCTCTCAGGAGAAGGATCCATCATCGAGTGCGTTATCTGTGCAACCTATGAACTTCGAAGCTACGCTGGCTGGTTCTACACCAGAAGCATCAAGATCAAAATCTCAATGGACTTTCGTTGGAGCAAATGATCTAGAGACGGGTTATTTTCAAGGCGAACCAGAGTTGAGACTATCGGAAAATTTCAAGGAAAGACTCTGCCAGCCCTGGAAAAAGACGCTTGTTGTTCGATTGTTGGGTCGCTCGGTGGCCTTTTCATACTTATGTTCACAGCTTTGCTGGATGTGGCGACCGATCGGCTCACTGGAGATTATGGATCTAAACAACGATACTTTTCTTGCGACCTTCGGGAACGGTCATGATTAATTGAAAGCCCTCATTGGAGGTCCTTGGGCTATCCTGGATCATTACCTAGTGGTTCATCAATGGTCGCCGACGTTCCATACTTTTGATAAGCCTCACCGATCAGTGGTGGCGTGGGTTCAGCTCCCCGAATTGCCAGTTCACTTCTATCACCGGGGAGTGCTCTTTTGCTATTGGTAATCTGGTTGGCAGGACAGTTAAACTTGATTATCATACAAAAAATCTAGAGAGGGGCAAATTTGCTCGTATTGCCATTGATTTGGACATGAGCAAACCTCTCCCCACGCGCATCCGGCTAGATGGAGCATGGAAGCAAGTTTTGTACGAAAACCTCCCTACGATCTGTTATTCCTGTGGGCGAATAGGGCATACGGAGGATTCTTGTCCTCTGAAGCAACTGCCTCCTCCTCTGACCATTATGGCGGCACCAGATCAAACGCAGAACTCGTCGCCGGTTACAGAGTCGCCGGAAGTCCCGCCAGCTACGGACCGTGGATAGGTCGTCAGGAAATCAAAGCGCCACAATAGGAAACCAGCGCCTGATCAGCCGTTATATCAAGGGAATAATTCAGGAAAGAGCTAAGAGGGGGCCGCTAATTTGGGAAGTACTAAAGGAAAGGGGAAGATTGAAGTGGGGAAGCTTAATCTGGGCAAAAAAGGAAAGGGGGATCATAATAGTGGAACAGTTCAGGGTAAACAGGGCAAAGATAAAGGAAAAGGGATCTTATAGATGAAATCATCCAACGGTAACAACAAAGATGGGCTAGCTCAAGAATGGCGCCAAGTTGGGCACAAAAGTAATGATATGAAGACAACTAGTGGGAACATTGAGCCCAAAGCTTCAACCTCAAAGCCCACTGCGCTAGACTTGACACAACCCAATCCCTAGGCCTCGCAGGTGGTTTTGGATTTGAACAGCACGAAAATACAGATCCTTGCCGTCCCTGAGCTGAATCTTCATCGGAAGGAAAATCGGAATTCCAACTCCGATGCTCTAGTGTCACGGAAGCATGATCACAAACAGAAGAAAATTCAAACTTTGCAACCGAAAGGGGTCAATCTCAAAGCTTTCAAGAGGCCTCTTCAAATCCATAGCCCTGGGAAGAAGGAGGGTCAACTGAAGCATAAAAAGATTCCTATTCTGATCTCTCTAAAAGCGATCGAGGAATTCTGCAATACTCCCCAAAAACAAGCAGAACAGCTTGAAAATCCTATAGGGTCGAGTTCAGGAGATGTTGCTATGGGGGAAACTCCTACAAATGAAGTCGTGGTGGCTGCAAATTGAGAAGGGGTAAAGGCGCCTTCGAACCCTACGCCCTCATGATCCTCGATCCCCTTCTGACCTTTTTCTTTCTGCTCTTTGACTTTTTACTTATGGTTTATCAATATGAATTTAAAATTTTATCCTGAAATGTTTGTGATGCAGGTAGTAGGAAATTCAGAAGAGCCATTCGCCTGATGAAGGACACTCATAAACTGGATTTCCTGATTATCTTGGAGCCTCAGATCAGGGTGATAAAGCTAATACTGTCTGTAGCAAGCTGGGGTATGATGAAGTCATTTGCGTTGATGTCGATGGAAGATCGAGTGGAATCTAGTTGGCTTGGAAATCTGCTGATTTTAGAGTGACCCCTCTTAATGCCAGCAAACAACATATCACTGTCCGAGTAGCGAAAGATGGCCATGAAGACTGGATTCTGTCCAGCATTTATGGCATCCCTAAGTATAAATATCATACCCTTCTCTGGGAGCAACTCATTAGCTTCAATAAGGTTTGGAATCTCCCATGGTTCATCACAAGGGACTTCAACGCAATCTCCTCCCCAACGGAGAAGCATGGTGTTTGCTCACCTAGGGATATCAGACGTTGCAAGAGATTCCTAGGATGGGTGAATGATGCCGGCTTGATGGACTTGGGGTTTTCGGGTACTTGTTATACGTGGTTCAGGGGAGATACTAGCTCGACTCATAGAGCTAGCCGATTAGACAGAGCTTTGTGCAACGATTCGTGGAATGGTGAGTTTCCCAACACCGTGATTCAACATCTCTCGAAGTTCCATTCAGACCACCTGCCCATTCTTGCGAGCTACTCTATTCAACAGCCACCTAACGGGGAATCAAGACCCTTCCGGTTCGAAGCGGCATGGCTCCTGCACCCTCAATTCAATAAATTCACGGAAGACAATTGGCACAAGGATTCTGATCTCTGCAATTCCTTGAGTGAGATGACGGACAAGTTACGAGAGTGGCACAAGGATGCTTTTGGTTCCACTACTCGTCAAAACAGAAGGTTGCTTGCGAGGCTTCAAGGAGTGACTACTAGACTGGCGAATTCCTTTAGTCCAGGCCTCATGAAGCTGCAGCTTAAACTTGAGAAAGAGCTTGATCTAATCATTGCTAAGGAGGAAGTTTTCTGGTTCCAGAGGGCTAGTGAAAAATGGGTCAAGCTAGGAGAATAGAATACCTCCTACTTCCACCATCAAGCCACCAACAGATGTAGAAGAAACAAAATCCCGGCTCTTAGGGACTCTAATGGGGATTGGATTGACCACCAGGAAGATCTCAAGACTTTAGTGATGCACTTCTATGAATTCCTTTACACCCAGGAGGACGGAGTCTATGAGGACCTGATGCCTAGAGGCAGGTTTCCACGTCTGTAGCAAGCTGATCTTCTGGGTTGGCTACATCCTTTTTATATTTCAGATTATCATAAAGCCATCTTTGGGATGAAGTCAATGTCAGCTCCAGGGCCAGATGGGTATCAAGCAGTCTTCTACTAGAAATTCTGGTCTCTTGTGGGAAAGAATCTGACTGAGATGGCTACGCATTTCTTTGAAACAGGAAATCTCCCAGATGAGGTGTTTGAATCCACGATGGTTCTTATTCCGAAGGTTGATCATCCTGAGACACTGGCTAAGTTTAGACTCATTAGTCTAAATAATGTGGCTTTGAAAGCCATAACCAAGTCCATAGCCAACATACTCAAGCCTCTAATGCCAAAGCTAGTAGCTCCGACCCATAGTGGTTTTATCAAGGGAAGGCAGACGAATGATAACATCTTATTGCTGCAAGAGATCCTCCATTCTCTGAGAAAAAGGAAAGGGTCAGGTGGGGGGGGGGGGGGGGGCTGGTTATTAAAATTGATCTCGAAAAGGCTTATGATCGCGTTCATTGGGGATTCCTTCGAGACACTCTGGGGGAGATAGGCCTCCGTAGTTCCTGGATTAGCAAGATTATGACGTGTGTGGAAAGGAATCAAATGCGGATCAACTGGAATGGTGAGATGACCTTGGTGATCAAACTTACTAGAGGCGTCAGACAAGGAGATCCCTTCTCCCCTTTTCTCTTTGTTTTATGTATGGAAAGATTAGCTCATCGTATCGAGCAAGCTGTAGAGAAGAAACTTTGGAAACCACTCTCCCTCAACAAGGATGGTCCAAAGTTGTCTCATCTATTTTTTGTTGACAATCTGATTTTGTTTTCTGAAGCTGAAGGTGGACAGATTGACGTTATTCGATCGTGCTTGGAGGACTTTTG